TGAAACTAAGCAAAGCAACATTTAAATCTCTTAAAGTGTTTACAGTGTGCCCTGTGATAGACTGGCAACCTGTCCAGGGTGTAACCAATTTTTGTAGTGGATTTCAGGATTGTTATGCCAATTTTGTCGTGGACTACCAGAAGCAAGCAGGAGATCATTAACCTAATTAATGCAAACTTAAAAAACATCAAATATCTTGATACTGTGATATGACTGGAACACATTATGACATTCAGGTATCAATACTGTCCAGCACTACACTGTACTTTTGTGTGTTCTGTCCATTGCAGACGTTATGACTGCTAATTTGGTTGAGGTCGGAATGCGACAGCTGCAGTGCTGTAACTGTTAACTACAACTGCAGTATGTACTTGTAAAGCACCAGCAACACGTCTTAACCATGTTAGCCTTCTGAACTTATGCTGCAATTGCAGCCTTAAGCCTACCCTATTAAAAATGTTTCTCTGGTTCAACCTAAGTAAATGACTTCATATGGTATCAAGCAGTTTCATTGGACTTATTCAACTCAAATAAATACTTTCAATGAAACAAACAAAACAAAATTTTAGTTCAGATAAACAAAAATATTTTTTATATCAGTTTACACCTCAAAATCCCTTTACAGTGTAATATAGCCTCAAACCCTAGACTGAACAGAAGTTCTGGTTGAACTTGCTCCCAAAAAAGGCTTGCTAAAAATGCTAAATCAGCACTTAAGCATTACAAGTGAATATAACTCTTTAATCCCAGAGATATTCATCCAGATTTTAGGTTAGGAATGCTACAGGAGCAGCCAGAGACAGCCATGTGACTGAAAGCAGCTGTTTTTTTTTAAGAGGAAGCCATAAATTACTGTAATGCCCTTGGAGCTCAGAGAGGCCTTGGAGGATGGCCCTCATCATCTCCATTGCTTTCCCCTTGGACTCCGCTCTGTTTCTCTTGCCACCTGTTGCTGCAGACCAGCAGCTGCTCTGGTGTAAGACAGTTACTGATTGACCTAGCGTGGCTTTGCCTGGGCTTAGCTAAGTACGTGATCCAGTACAAAGATTTTGTTTGATACAGTTGCATGAAGATGCTCAACAAACCTACATAACCTACATAGGTAAAGCAAATTCAGATGACTGCCACAAAAAATGTCCCATAAAATGCAACAAATTGTTTTCAAATAATGTCATTCGTATATGGCTTTGTTTCCCTCACCACTAAGCCTTGACCATGGCTCTGCCTCTCACCTTGGCTTTCCACTGGCTTTGCCCCAGCTTTTGTCAGTGGCTGTCTTCAGGTTCATGTTATTTTATCTTAAACGGTTCAAGTTTTTTTTTATTTTAAATGCTTGCTGTCTTTTACGATTTGTGTGTTGTGTGTGTGTGAGTGTGTGTGTGTGTGTGTGTGTGGGGGGGGGTGGCTCTTGCCACCCCACTTCTGCAGGCTCTAAAATATGACACCAAATGTTATTAAGCACAATGTGTCTATATTCTCAAAACTCTTAAAATGTACAAGAACATTGTATAACAAAACCTATTACTCTGTTACTTGTGTTGTTCTATTAACTCATACAACCCATCAGACATAAGAAACTGAGTTGCCTCTGTGCTGCTTTCCAACTCTAAATACTCTAGCTGGGAATAACACAACATCACAGAGCTATCAGAGGAGAGTGAGTAAAGATGGAAACTGTAGCCTTTCTGTGTAAATTACTGAAAAAGTGAGTAATTAATGTACAATGGATTAAATTCCATATCAATATTGCAACACAACTGTATACACAGTAATACAGAAGAAGTACGGTCACAAAAACATACACAAGCATGTGTAATTAGCTAGAGTTATCTAGCTAACTTGTCAGCTAACAAGTTAAATGAACAATGATGTCTACATTGGAGTGTAGTTCACTACAGTTAAATTAATCTTAAGTCATGATGAGAAAACATCTGTGCAGATAAGTTAACAAGTACTGATTTGAAAAGCAAATTTCTACTGCTTTGCAAGGATTTTAGGTATTTACCCTCTACAGGGCACAATATTTTTAATAAATGCAAGGAAACAGGAAATCTGTGCAAGGCCACAAACCACAACTGAATGCCTGTGACTTTTGATCCTTCAAAAGACACTGCATTAAAAACTGGCATGCTTTTATAATGAATATCACCACATGGGCTCAGGAATACTTTAACAAACCTTTGTCAATGAAGGCTGTTCTTCACTGCATTCACAAATGCAAATTAAGACTGTACTGTGTACCGTAAACACTGCCAACTTCTCTGGGCTCGAGCTCATCTGAAATGGACTGATGCGAAGAGGAAATGTGTATTGTAATCTGATGAGTCAAACTTTCAGATTGTTTGTGGAAATAACGGACATTGTGTTCTCCAGGACACTGAAGAAAAACTTCATCTAGATTGTTACCAGCCAGGGTCTGTCAAGGTGGGGGGAGTATTAGTGGGTTCATAAATAGATCTGTACTGCTTATATACTTATGGTCCTGAGAGTCAAATATGCCTTAGACATACCTAAGACACACCTTAGTCATAAAAAAAATTGCCACTGCTGGTAAAACTTTCTAGATCCATTCCTGACAGTTGGGAGTTTTGAAAAGAAGCATTTGCCAACCATCACCTCATCACACATTCAAAGTTCAGAATGTTGAATATAGCAGAATGACTATACTTGTGCTTGTTGAACCATTAGCACACAAGGAACCTCGAATGCCCATTTTTAGGCATTTGGCATTTGAGCATGTCTCACCCTCACCACACTGTTTTCCTTGTCTTGTCTCTAGATCTATCTCTGAATAGATCTAATTCATTTGTTTGCTGTTCAAAATCTGCCGTTCTCTTCAGTGGATCTATTTATAGTGCTTCTCACAGGATGCACAGAGAGAAGAGAAGCAGATGTTTTAGTTTCTGTTAAACATAATGTACTTGTGAGGTTTGTTTCCCTGTGAACTCTTCATGCCCTGTAATGGATTTCATCTCAATGTATGACAGGAAGATTTGACCAGGTCAAGTTTATTTTCAGCTTTTGCTCAGTTTCAGATAAAGTGCACTTTTAAAAACTACATTATTGCTCATAGCTGGATGTTTAGTGGATCTGATAGCATGTGTGGCTCCATCCCTTACTGACCGAGTGACCACTGTCCAAAATGTGACAAGTAAATGGAAGCTTAAAGGACCCATAATAGACAGTTTCCTTCCCTTTTTAAATAAAATAAAATAAACACCACTTGAGTTCAACTAAACAAACATTACTCACCACTTACTCACTACTGCCCTCTAAAGGTGTTATAGCACCAGTCTGGGGTTTTGTTGCTGTCATAAGATTCAGTATCCATCCATCCATCCATCATCTAAACCGCTTATCCTTCTGGGTCGCGGTGGGGTGCTGGAGCCTATCCCAGCTGTCATTGGGCGGAAGGCAGGATACACCCTGGACAGGTCGCCAGTCCATTGCAGGGCAGGCAGACAGACATACACAGTCACACACTCACACGTAGGGGCAATTTAGCACGTCCAATTGGCCTGACTGCATGTTTTTGGACTGTGGGAGGAAACCAGAGTACCCGGAGGAAACCCACGCAGACACGGGGAGAACAGGCAAGATTCAGTATCAATAAATGCATTTTTTTTTTGATTAACGTGCTTTTGCCTTAACACAATGGATCAACACACACACAGTGACCATTCTGTAGCTCATTGCACTGCACTTTTTATATTACAGCTATAGTTTGCTAATTAGCAAAATACTAATTACCCACCTTCTTATTTACGTTTACATAATTCACATTGTTTTGTTTTGTTCATTTCTATTCATGCTCTTGAGGTTTCTTGCCCTCATTGAGTTTTTCTTGTTACTGTCGCCCTCAGTCACTTGGGGTCTGGTCCTGAGTCTCTATTATTCTGCTTAATGATGAAGGAAACATATACAACTGTATTTTGAATTGAATTTGAACAAATTGGTGAGTTATATGCTTCTCTGTTACATTTGTCTTGTTGCACAGTGAAAGCCATATGCATCCATAAACACCGCCGACTTCTCTGGGCTCAAGCTCATTTCAAATGGACTGATGCATAGTGGAAGTGTGTACTGTAATCTGATGAGTCAACCTTTCACGTTGTTTATAACAAAATTGAAGAGCAATGTCAGACTGTCGCATAGTTTAAAATAGAATAAGGAGCCATACTGAAGCCAGATATTTTGTACACACTTTTGTCCATTCTTATGCCTGCAGTTTGCACCATGCTAATTGCTAATTAGCAAAATACTAATTAACCACCTTCCTATTTACTATCACATAATTCTCATTGTTTGTGTTGTTTGTTTCTTTCCGTTGTTCACCAGAGAAGGATGAATTCCCCCTCCAAGTCTTGGTTGCGCTTAAGGTTTCTTTACCCCATTGAGATTTCTTATCATTGTTGCTCTTAGTCAATTGGGGCCTGGACCTGGATTTCTGTAATTATGCTTGGTGATGAAGGAAACGTTATACAACTGTATTTTGAATTGAATTAATTGGTGAGGTATATGCTTCTCTTATTACTTAGTTACATTCGCCTTGTTGCTACCTTGCAAAACTAAAGAAGCAAAGTTCAGACAACAAACACATTTCGGCTGATCATGTAAATTAGATTATTTGGCCAAGCTATCACTTTAATTTCATCCACACATGTATAAGCCAAACATATCTTTCTGCTGAACCAGGAGACAACACCCAGTGTTTGGTGTAAGCTAGAACTGTCCAGTCTAGCCTGCCTCTGCTACAAAATGCAGCTTCTGCTTTATATAAACCGAGTGTCCTCATTGACCGTGACACAATGTGACACATGGAATCACATACAACGTTTAGCACGCACACATGCACACATCCAGACACAGGAAGCCGCAGCGCAGACAGCCAGCAGCCGCATCATCATCCTCCTGTTGCCCCGGCTGCCGTCACCATGGCAACCTGGCCATGATGTCCAACCCTTTGGAGGAGGCAAAGGAGGGAAAATGGAGATACTCACTCAGAAGCCGGGGCTTTCCTCCTCAGAGGTGTGCCCATCATGGCAGCCTCTTCTCTTTTCTCTCTCTCGCCCTGCCCCTCGCTCTTTCCCTCTCTCTCGTTCTGCTGTCCTCTGCGCTGTTGTCACCGTCTCCTTCACCTTGTGGAACACAGGGTAGGGTGCTTTCCTGCAGAATCAGTTGGGTGCTGGATGGCAGCGAGCAGAAAGCATGTCCTCCGCCTAGCCTGCAGGAGGAGAGAGAGAGAGAAAGAGAGGGAGAGATAGAGAGGAAGAAGGGAGGAGTCTGCGTTTATTACTACAGACAGTATGCTAACCTTGACCGCCTCATGCACCATAGACTCATGCTGTTCCAGAAGTTTCCATTTCATTCTTCCAATAAATCCAGTAATATGGACAATGCAATATGTAAATATAGATAGAGCATATAAAATGTACAGTATATAAATAACCAAGAGGACAATCTAATCTACAGTCAAGTAAAACTGTCATGTTTGACCATGCAGTTTATAGATTATGTAAGCTTTAATGGCAGCACTGTAGTAATGAGAATAAGACACAGCTAACAAGTGTCATAAATAGCATCAATTACAAACTTCATACAGGCCCTTAAACTGCAACGGCCTGTGTGTGGGCCCACACTTCAGTTCCTCACCCTTTACTGTCTCTACTTTTCTCCATTCTTAGGCATGCATGTAGTTTTCACAGTGCAAATTGAACATTTGCAAAGTATTGTTCGTTAAACCTCTCAGCCAAATACAACCGCCTTAAAATGCCTCTATCAAGGGAAAGAAAACTCCGACAAAACTCCTTAGAACAAATCTTCAGTGAGTGGCAGTAAATTAGTCAGAATTGGTAAAAAGGTGTTGGTAACAGTTTATTTGAACCCTACTACACAAGACAAACATGTCATGGCAGATGCCACATGCTGTCATGAGTTGACGTTACAGATTATGTCTAAAACTATAACAGTGAGTACATTTACATGCACTGAATAATCAGATAACAGCAGAAAATCAGATTTTGTCAGAAACCAGTGTTTACATACCTTTGGGTAATCAGATAATGGGAAAACTCTAGGTCTGCATGAGTAAGGCAATAATTGGGTTTGTGCTTTGCAGTCAGCCAACAAACTCAAAGAATAACACATAATGTAAATGTAATATGAAACTCAAACGTCATGCTATGGCCTTTATAAACATTGAGTCGCTTTAGCGGAAAATATGAATATATATAATACAGAAAATGAAAAATCTATAAATTCTTCATTTTGTCAAGCAAGTATTCGGTTTCATCTTGTGGGTGCCGTGTTCTCAAACCAAAAAAGTTCTTAAAATTCTCTCCTCTCAGTCATACAGTCTCTTCTCATGTATATAACTATATTGTTGTTGTTCGGACAAAACCATGTATGTCCATTTTTGCGTATTTTTTATTGTAGTATACAGTTTGAAAAAGCCAGCTGCTGTTTCCTTTGTGTCAATATTTAATGGCAGACAGATAAGTAGAAATGGTTCAAAAATCTTGTTACATTAACTTACATTGAAAATTAAGAATGTTTTTCCTTCACCTGTAAAGTTTCTTTTTTGGAGATATGGCACTTTGTTCTGACAATGAACAAGGAAAACTAGCAAATACCTGATTTTTGAATAATGTTTGCAGTTTAGAGGGATAAAGGCGGTAAAAGCTAAGGGCTCACCTAAAAGGCGATGGACAGAACATTTCTAACATATTACAGCTGAAAACTTTGATCTGAGGTGTGTAAAGTGGTGAGGTCATTGGGTGAGGTCAGTGTATTAAGTCAGTGTCAGCAATCGTTTTCAAGCCAAGTTGTTTGGAACTTACTTCCAGTAAAACTCTTCAAGGCTGTACAGAGAATCGAAGTAGACATCAAACAATGCTAACAGAGTGCTACTTTATATCTCCATTTTAGATAATGTGTTTGAGAGAATTAGCTTACAATACCAAATGTAATTTGACTTGAGCCTCATGTCTTCTAAATTAATAACCAGAAATGTAAACATCTGACATCACTTTACCATAATTCAATTTGGTTATGAGACTTTAGAACATGATTCACTGAATCACTAAATCTTGAATATCAGCACATTTTGATTCTAATTTATTCGCTTAGATTTGTATGATATTGTAGTGACACAGGGAGGGCCATGATTCCACCACAAGAAGTGCTCTTTGTTAAAACACCAGGGTAAAAAGCCACATACAGAAGCACAAACCCATGGTGGAGGTCACCACTGGCCACAGGCTTCACCCTCATGGTGACCAACCCGTAACACAAAATGATAATAACAAATAATTCATATACACAACCTAAACTAAAGCAACAACAACATAAAAAACAATAAACGGCCCTTTTTAGGGGGTCGTGCGCCAAATATGAACCCCTGCGTGTTGCTGCTTGCATGACCATGCGTCCAGAGATTTTCGAAGCTAGCACGAGCCAGTAGTGGGTCACTACAATATGCTTCTAAATTATTTTTTAAAAATACACTGAATACCAAAAATGTGACTGGAGGAACTATTTACAGTCCCAATATGGAAAAGAAATACATGTAGAATGTATTTAGCAAATATGTTACAAATACGAAAATGGCCAAAAATATTATTTTGCTTTGTGTACTTTAGTGTTTGGAATACATTTCGGAATGAAACAGTGTATTTGACATATATGTCACATATAAAAAAAAAATACACATCCATGTATTTCTTTCTACATGGATGCTTTTTTGAACATTTATGTGAGTTTATGTACCAAAATGTTATAATTCATTTTCATATGACCATTTTCCAGCCGTCTTTATCCCGTTTAGTTTATGTTATATAAATATAACTGGCTGTTTTTGTTACTGTGCCTTTCCGATTGAATTACACAAATGAGCTCTGTTCTGATTGGCTGCCCTGTATTGTGCCTCATTCAAAAAGCAGGTCAGGCTGAAACACTCCTTATAACTTCAGTGTGAATGGGCAGAGCTACACTGATACAGGTTATTAACAGCAAAAAAACAGTTGTGGTTCAGGTTCAGTTTCCATATACGGACTGAGGAGTGAATGGTACTTTTTAAAACTTTAACAGTGTTTACATAATACATCACACAAAATTCAGTTTGCTGTGATATAGGTTATTTAAATGTTATTGTAATTATGAAATTTTGAATTCAATACAGATGAATTGCACCCACGATGTATTTTTGCCTACCTATTAATATCTCAATTAATAATGCAAGACTAATCCTTCTTTTTGGAATTTAGTTTCTAATCAAAAACACAAATCACAGTCAGTGTAGAATACAGTCAGTGCAGAATACACATTCACCTGAGTGCAGGTTTAGCCATCCTTCTCATGGCATTACAGAAGCATAAGAACGCTGCAGGGTTTCCTGCAGTGTTTCTGGTGGTGATTTATTAGCATGTGAGGCAGAACTAGTGGGAATGCGTGTGTGTATGTGTGTATTAACATGCTGGCAGTTTGGTGCAGGTGGTAGAGGGCCAGCTGTCACCTGTCACCTCAACTGTCCAATCAGAAAGCTGCATTCAGCCTCATAGCCTTCCGAAAAGAATGTCAGGGACAACAATGTGTGTGCTGGGCAGAAACAGGGAAGATAAATATTGACAACATTCTGCAGTGGTTTGCGGATTGGGGTCAGATACAACAGTGGTATGCAGGAGCTTGAACACCCTTGGTCAAATTACATGTTTTGTGGTCCTCTAAGTCAAAATAAGTACACATTCTGTAAAGGGAACAAACTTATATATGGCATTTTTGGCAATTTTAGTGCACAAATTACATTTCTTTGCTTTGAGTTTAACATTGGAGTTTAACATTGGAAAAAATAAAACATAAAATCTAAAATCCGCACAGGCCACGTTTATTTTCACATGTTAAATGCAGCAAATAAACAGTTGGTGTGCATACATGTGTGCAGAAGTGCGTTCTGCTGAAAATCTGAAAAAAAAAATTGTCAGTAATCTGATCAACACGTTTATATGCACTTGGGTAATCAGATAATGTGAAACTCTGGGTCATGAGTTAGGCAGTAATTGGATTTCTGTTTTGCAGCCAGTCAATAAACTCACAGAAGAAGACGTGACGTAAATGTAATGTAAAACCCAAACTTCAAGCTGGGTCTTTTCTTTTTAAACATTGACTTGAACAGTGACTTTACCTGAAAATATGGATATGCATCAGAGTTTACATGCACTGAGAAATCTGTTTACTGAGCTAAAATCCATCTCTCTTTATAAGATTTCTTAGTGAGATTTCCAGGTCTTACAACGATCTAAGAAACTGGAGTACACTGTTTTGAATAATCAGATAACTGCAGAGTGCATGTAAACGTACTCGGTATAAGATCAATAACCAGGAATATAAACAAATGTGAGTTCAGTATTAGGTAAACAGTAGGTCACTGTTGCCCTTTTATTTGTGTTTTATAACTACTTTTTAATGATTTTAAGCTCTTCATGACCATTCGCAAATAGTACATTTTGTATGCGTTAAAGTAAAATATAAAGCATTGAAAATATGCACTTTTCATATGAAATGCATTTTTCTTTCACAAGGGGATGCTTACTGGTGATTATAAGCTTCTAATTCTTGTTAGCTACATTAGCCTCATAGTTCCAGTGCAAAACTACAAAAAAAATAAAAATACAAAGAAAGCAAAATTCAGACATCAAACCTGTCTTGGCAGATGAACTATATTTGGATGAAACTTTCGCTTTAAGAATGAACTTTCTTGCTGTATTGCTGTCTCTAGCAAAGTCTAGATCATTTGGAAATAATGTCTGGTTGTCATATTTTTGGTTGCTTCTAGGGGACAAATCCAAGGCCACATTTAGTTTAAGTGGTAAGACATTGATTGTGCATGCCTGTGTGTCACTCACTTTGGATGTTTGAGATTATGGTCACAGTTTGGCAGAACCTTATCACACTGTCTGGAATGCAAGTGAGGCTTTTGTAAGTGTCTGCTCTTCCTTAATCTTCTCGTAGGTGTTGTATAAGTAAGACATCCTCACCATCTGGAACTCATCACTAGTAGTTTTAAAAATCTTGAGCTTTGAGTTGGTTTTGTGTATTACATATCAGTGTTAGTAAATGAATACTTCTCCTTTTAGTCCATGCCCTGATGATTGGATCTGCCTGCGTGTCAAGACCTACGCAGTCAAATACACTGCATGCTACCAGCAATTATCTTCAGAAGCACTTTGATTTCTACTCATTAAATGATGCAGGATCATCAGAATCAGGCTGAGATCATATGATACAGACCAGATGTGCTTGTCTGAGAACAAGGACGGTAAGGGTCATTATAAAAAGGGAGTTCGTAAGAAGGTTGGATGATATAAGGTTCATAGGTGTGCCATCCTCAAATGACATACAGTATGTGGGCTTTCACACATGTACACCTAGCATTTCTAATATTCTTTTGTTGTGTCCTTTTCGATCTTACAATCTGCATACAGTACTGTGCAGAAGTCAGAGAACACGCTTCATTTAATCCACTTCCAGTCAAAACAACCATCAATTTATTCATTTGTTTGAAACACATTTTGACTTCATTACTACGTACTCTGACTACTTATTACTAAATTTGTTTTGAATGAAACTTTACCTTAATTATGTTTATTTTTTAAGAACATGTTAAAACGTTAAACATTTCATTTTGTCACTAACAAGACAATCATAACACTACCAAAACTTTCCCACTAACAAAATGTTACCAAATGTTTCAGTAGTGACTGTTTCGGTAGTGACAATCATCATCCAATTTTAAGCAGAACTCACAAACACTAGGCAGTACGTGACTTGTACACTCATGATAAATCTATGTCTTCATTTTAAAAGAAATCAAAAAGATATTTTAAAAAACAGCATTGGGAGAAAAATATGTATAAAAGAAAGTAAGAATTATTTTTAAATTTAGGAGTTAGGGTTTGGGACAGCCACCTCCCAATAGAAAGTACCCTATAAGTACCTTATCACTATCTCCATATATATATATACACCCCGATCAGGCAAAAAAAAGTCTGCACAGTTTGTGTTGGTCATCCTCTAGTCTTTCATCAGTGGTCACAGGATGCTGCCCACAGGACGCTGTTGGCTGGATATTTTTGGTTGATGGACTATTCTCAGTCCAGCAGTGACACTGAGGTGTTTAAAAACTCCAGCAGCACTGCTGTGTCTGATCCACTCAGACCAGCGCAACACACACTAACACACCACCACCACATCAGTGTTACTGCAGTGCTGAGAATGATCCACCACCCAAATAGTACCTACTCTGTGAGGGTCCCTGGGGGTCCTGAACACTGAAGAACAGGGTAAAAGGGGGCTAACAAAGTATGCACAGAAATCGATGGACTACAGTCTGTAATTGTAGAATTACAAAGTGCACCTATATAGTAAGTGGAGCTGATAAAATGGACGATGAGCGTAGAAACAAGGAGGTGGTCATAATGTTATGCCTGATCGGTATGTATATATATGATCTGCAGAATTAGTGAATTGGCGCAATGAATGATAATCAGCTACAAAGTACCACATGTGAACATTACAGAGCCTAATCCTGTTTAACATTCAGAAACCCAGTTAACATCAAATGAATCTCCGCATTCTCCACCAAATATTGTCCCCAAAACTTAGATGGAGGTTTACACATAGAGTGACCATATGAAGTCAAAAAATGTAGAGAGGAATTTCTTCGGACGCTCATGCTCTTTAATCTGACTGGATGAAGAAGAGCACATATTAGCGAAGGAATGCCGGCTGATTAATTGTGCACCTGAGAGGAGAGAGAGAGAGGAAGAAGAAGAAGCATGCCACAGATAACTCAACAGACAAGTGGGCCCAACAAAGCTACGTGTGAAGTAGCCACTACTCACAAGTTAGCGATTAGCTGCTGCCTTTGACGTCCTGAGTGCTACGCGATCCTGTGCATTCCTAAAGGGCCTCATGTTGTCACACAGGCCATCCACACATATTTTCCCCTCTAGAAGACACGCAGCATGAGCAACTGGGATCAGTTTGCAGTGTCACGGCCTTACGCATTACCTTTTACTATTAGCCAGCTGGATTCAGCTCTCAAACAGCGCTGTTGTTTTTGCTCCCAGCTGAAAAAATCAAAGGCATTCGTTTACTCCTTGCATATGCTTCAAAGCTTTCCTTCCATAGGCAAACTGTACAGAAAGGCCATGAGTGACAAGGCTAGCAGGGTGCTAACAGATATCACTGCCTGATAATACAATGTTAGCTTTGTTAGCTTCTCTTTTGAGAATTCTTCCTCCGTTACAGGACAGAAGAGAGCCTTTGAGTTGTTTGGGCAGTGAGCGGATATCGCCCCTGCTGTCACCTCATCTGAGGCCTTGTTCAAGGTCACTAGGGGCCTATTACAACTTCCACAGCTAAAGTCCACAGATAGATCAGTTCACATTAATGTGGCCACTGTTTAACAGAACCTGAATCAATAAACAAAAGGCAAGCACAGTGATCAGCCTTTAATAGCTTTCTGTAAAGTAATTTTTAAACGTACATTACTGTACAAAAGTAAGAGACCACCTTGCATTTATTCCAGTCAAATCAGCCATTAAGTACAATTTAAGCAGAATAAGCAGACAACATATTCAACAGAAAATTACACAACTAACCAAGACATTTTTCAGTTATTAGTGTGTCCACTCTTTACCTTTATTACAGCTTCTGTTCTTCACAGGAGAGAGAAATCTGCTGGGATATTTTTCTTAAGCCTTAAAACTTGGTTGCATTTTTTATTTTTAACCAAATAGGTGTTGCTAAACCCACTGTAACCGAAGAACAGTCCATTGTTCTGAGAACACCAGCAGCTTCATTGTTTGATTTGCAAGTCTCAGTAAAAGCTTCTTGACAGCTACACATCCTTTCAGACTCATAGTGTTGAGTTGTCTCAGAGTAGAAGGATGGACAGAAACACCTGTGGATTTTTTCAGATCTGAAGCGAGGGTGGAGATGAAAGCCTTTAGTACTGTTTATCTGATGGGGACAGTTTTGGTGGTCTACCAGGTGGTTGTTAGGAGTCCCATTTTCTCTGTAATAATTTTTGAACCTCAGTTTTGGAAATTCCGGCTTTTTCATTTATTTTCCTTTGACTTTCTCCTTCCTTAGGCACGTGAGTTATCTAGAATCCCCTCAGAAATACCTCCTGAAACATGTGTTTAATTAAATTAAATTAATAAAGGTGGTCTCTGATTTTTACACAGTCCTGTATATCATGTAAATCATCTCCAACACCACACAATGACGTTGCAAAGAATGACCACAAATATTACAACTTTAGTGCATAGTCTCCATCTTGTGGACATACGTGTGAATTTCTCTTTCTTATAAACATCACTCTGTACCTTTGTTGTTAGATGAAGCATTAGATTTCAAGACACCCTTTTGCTTCGGTTACAAAGCATTGTAAATAGTTTTTACTTTCCACTTTCCAAAACTGAAGTGCTGATCATTATCAGATATTACATTGACAATGTTTTTAAATGGATCATTTTGCAGTTTTAAGATACTGTACATTTGACAGCCAGTCAAATTAAAGTTTATTCATATATCACTTTTCACAACAGACATTGACACAAAGCTGACACAAAGAGTATCCCATTCTATTGCCAGTGCTTTTCTATGGAGATTATGCAAGCTGCATGTGCACAGTTGAACACCTATATCAGCAATGGATGCACCCTAAAGTAACTACAATTCACTAATTAGAGGGGTGTCTGGATACTTTTGGACACATAGTGTATTTAACATGTCAGTAAATGCGTTTTACCCATAAAAATGCTACATAACATTAACAACATAAAAAATACAAAGTGTTACAGAGCCTTATCCTGTCAACATCTAGAACACTGTTAGCACCTAGTGGTTCTCCACATTCTCCACTGAAATATTGACAAATATTGCCATTGTGTGATGCATAATGCCCAAGTAAATGACTTTACATATATATTTTCTGAGATGGCTAAGAGCTTTTCATAAAACTGTATGACACTTTGTAGCCAATCATAGCATTCCTGCCCATTCTGGAATGTGAAAAGGAATCCATTGGAGTAACGGAGTGGGTCTTTAAAGCAACATTTGAAGAATGTTATTTCTAATCACTCCTCTACATTCTCTACGCTCAGATACACTATTATACAAACAAGCATTCAGAACCCATCAAGGTTCACAACTGTGTGAATCTCATAATATGAACCTCATAAGGTTCACAACTGCTACCTCATAATATGTTTCTTAGCATTTGGACCTTGTATTTAAGTGCTGTGAATTTGTCTGCTGACAAGCCTTTATTACAATCAAGTGACAGGACACCATTTTGTGACACCTTTTAAAGGAGTGTGCTTTGTGAAATTCGTCAGTTGTGGTGTCAGGCTTGCCTTTGTGCTCCAGATATGATTGGCTTTTAGGTGGGTTTGTGGCAAAGGCCTCACAGCAGGTCAGCTGCACTTCATTACAACTGTCCATTCTGCATTTGAAATGTTCTCCTAACCATGATAGACAGAACTAGCAGTAAAACAGAAGTGTCTGGCACTTTGAAGGGGGACTGGCTTAGGAGTGGCTGAATTGGCTTTGCTTTAAATCTCTGCTTTGCACTGTGGCACTTGTTAAAAACTTTGTCGCTCTTAAAGCTGTCACTGTGGTCAGCGCGGTGTCAACTTTTCATCACACTGAGGTTTAATTACCCAATTGAAGCAGTTAGAAGCACACTGAGTTTCCTTTCTAAAATGTCACACAACTAGTAAAAACTATTGAGACTGTCATGAGGAATGTGAACAAAGTGTTTAGCAAAGAATCAAATGGTAAAAAGTGCCATAGTTACATATTTTATACTTTACCAATTTAATAATGTATTGTGCTTATAAAAATAATACATTATAGTAATATCACAATATACTATTTGTTTTAGAATATTAAGCAAGTCAGAAGTGCAGTATGTACCAATTTAATTGGAATGTGATATTTTGTCTTGTGGCGTATTCGTCATATAGCAATTTCCTTTTGGAGATCAATAAAGCAAAAGAATCTCAATACAAAGTTCAAAGAAAGTAGCATCTTTTTTTTTTTAGAATTTCTGTACATTTCAGTAGTTAAGATGTAAACAAAGTCATTCAGAGTCATTCCAACAATGTTTTAGACAACCTCTATTGCAACCTCTGGCGGAGGTACATTGAAACCTCTTGGTGGAGGTGCATGCAGGCCATCTTTAGGCAAAATAGTGCACAAAGACAACTTATTTTTTCAGATTTACCACTATTTTACCCTAATTAACATAAATTATATATAAAACAAATACACATGTAGGTTCAGTGGTTGTTTTGGATAAGTGAAATGGCTCATTGTAGAGATTTCTTTGTAATAGTTTTGATAGGAACCAGAGGTTGCAAATGTCTAAAACACAAGTATAACCATTTTGCTTATTATCCAAAACAATCAATGAGCGTACACGTCTGTTGAGTTTTTACAAACCCATTTCCAAAAAAGTTGGGACGCTGTGCAGAATATAAATAAAAATAAAATTCAATGATATGCAAATCACGTAAACATTATTTTTAAAGGAAATACTACAAAGACAACATATCAAATTTTGGAATTTTATTGTTTTTTGAAAAATATGTGCCCATTTTGAGTTTGACCAATACCAGTGTTTTGTTGCCCCCATCTCAACTTTTTTGGAATGTGTTGTTGGCATCAAATTCAAAATGGGCATATATTTTTCAAAAACAATAAAATGTCTCAGTTTCAACATTTGGTATGTTGTCTTTGTACTATTTTCAATTAAATAAAGGGTTTAAATGATTTGCACATCATTGCATTTAATTTTTATTTACATTTTGCATAGTGTCCCAACTTTTTTGGAGATGGGGTTGTATATGGAATGTATGTTGATAATGTTATAATAGTAAATCTGGAAAAATAAATTGTCTTTGTGCACTGTGTTGTCTTACACTCTCAGAAATAAAGGTACATACTGTCACTGGGGCAGTACCCCTCTTGTCACAGGGGTTGTACCCATAAGGGTACATCTCAGTACCTTTAATCAGGGAACATAACTGTCCCATAATTCACAGAAATTAAGTTGCATTAACTCCACACACCCCGCCTCGTCTCCAGGCTTTTATTTTACTGTTCTTTTTCAAAACATTAGGTTATGAAAAGGTACAAATATGTACTTTTCACCTGGAAAAACGTATTTAAGTTGGACCTTAAAACCACTGTTGTACCTTTGAGCGTACATTTACATTGTGTGTATCTCGACGAATGAAAAATGTACCTGCACAGAACCTTTATGTCTGTGGATCATGGCCTGCATGCACCTCTGCCAAGAATATATTATTCAAAACATATTTTAGGCTAAAAGCTTTTTGGGAAAAAAACTGTATTTCAGCCTTCATTATGTATTCAAACCAGTTTAATGCAATAGCTTTCTGTGAGGGAGCTTTTAGAGTGCTTCAGATGCCTGGTTCCTATCACATCACTGTAAGCAATTCTGACTTGTACGTTTTGCTAGAACATCACATTTCCCATCAAATCACTCTGAATAATTTTACATTGTAAAGTTTACGTCTTAAAGATTTGCTTATTCAGACATTTTTGATCATCATTGGTGTGATTGATTAATTGTTGAAATACTACCACAGCTGCCACAGAAGGACAATAAAGTTTGCTAATAAAGCATGTAGTAAATGTATAATTATCAGATATAGCTTTGAATAACTAATACTATCCAAAGCTGCCTATTACAGCTAACTGCGACAACCACGCTACAAAGCATTGCCAGTCTGCTTGAATATGCACATTTGGCTAGAGTGGACCTTCTGGAATCATCCCTCAACTAGTTCCCTTTAGATACTGGAATAGGCCTATCATTACTAAGGCTGCTGTATTGTCAGCTGTGGTCATCAGAAGTATTAACACACAGAACCTGGTCATCACTTTAAAACCACTTAGTTCAAGTCACCAGAAGAGGGCAGTATTTCTAAGCCTTGTTAAAAAAAAAGGTGTGAACTGAAGGGTGGATCCATCAACATATTCCTGCTGTGAGTGCGCTTGGCATGAGCTTATCACAAGGCTTGAATAATCCTATGTCATGATATGATGAGGTACACTCACTGCTGTTTGTGATTCACATATTCCACACACTGATTAACACATGCAATCGTGCTCATCAATAAGATCTTTTAAACAGTAGCTACTAAAGCCTGTATATGGTACTGTGCTAAAGTCAGAGACCACCTTTCATTTATGAAATTTCCAGGCAAAATAGACATGTACAAGATTTCTGAGTTAAGGAAATTAACAGCAAATAACAAGGAAGCATC